CCCTGCTTCTGTGCCTGGGCCCAGACATTCTCATCTTCATGGCAAAGGGGCACCCCTGAAGGAGGGAGGGGGGCCAGCCTGAGGATTGGGGTCCCAAGCAAATGCTAGAATCTTAACCGTGGCTATCTGTGGATAGGGGTCTGTTGGAAAGTAGCTCTGTCCATAACCACAAGTGAAAGAGCCTCCATGGAGATGTCGATTTGTGTCAGGGTCCTCACTGCCAATGTCACTGGGAGACTAGGAAGCCTGTCTCCTGGGTCTTCCCGCTCTCCTTCCTCTGGGGAAGTTTATGTCACTTCAAAGTACTTATTTTTTACAGCCTTGCTAAACCACCACCACTACCAAAAAAAAAAAAATATATATATATATATATACACTTTGATAATATGTAAGTTACCTTGGCAGAGACTTAGGTAAAGGGGGAATCCTAATCAAGTCCCAATCTTATTTGTAGAATACAAGCAGAACATATGAAATTCTTGCACACAGAAAACTGTGGAATAAAACTAATCAGTGTACAACTACATTACACAGTGGCAGCTCTTATCTGATAAAAACATAAGTACATTTGATGCAGAATTGGTGTAGGTCCCTGCAAATTCATTTCTCAGGAAAGCTGAGTCACTCACTGGGGGTTTGTAGACAGATGAACATCTGAGTGGATTAGGAACTCCAGCTCTCTCCCACTCTGGTCTCCACACCCAATGAAGAAGTGGGGTTCTCAGATTAGAGTATGAAGAAGAATCACTTGAGCATCTCATTTATCATATACAACTTCAGATCAATAATTAGAGACACTGACTTAATCATTCCAGGTAGGACCCAGGAATTCGTGCTTCAAACGAATATTTGAGGTGGTTCTGACGGGGCAATCTGACTTCACCACACCTTGAGATGTATAGACCCAGAGTATCTAATTTGGAGGAAATATCTGATAAAGTCCATTTGGGATGCTCAAATATACATAGGTACCAGCATTTTGACCAGAGGTTCACTAAAGTTAATCATGGATCCTACTCTTGGGAAATGAATTTTGACAGTGCTGGGTAAATACAAGGGATATTTAGGATGAGTTGTTGTTTTCCGTTTTCATTCATGGAAACAAAGAAAGGGAAGAGTCCCTGACAAATTGACACAAGTGTGTATATGTATATTTATTAATTTATTCTCTTTTCTCCTCTGTTCACAGAGGACTCAGTAATTCCATTAATTCTCCTTGAGCTTCCTGGATGATTCTGAGACTTAGAATTTGGATTGTA